AAAACAACGGGAGTTTTCCCCAAATATGGTGCCCACTTTCGCCATAGGCTAATATCTCTCCTCAGAGGCTTAAAAGATTCCATTCTAACACACAATCTTGTGTTTATAACTTGGGGATTCTGCCGTTCACTTTGTTTTGTTTCGTGACCCATCTCGCATGTGGTCCTGCCCCCATGGAGGGATCCAGCTTCCCTGTGTCCCATGTGGGTTTCCTGTCTTTGGTTTATGTAGTGAAACTGCAAGCCCATTGTTCACAGACTACCAGTGTAACATTTTCATTTTCACTTTGCATGGACTATTTTTTATTCACAAAGCAAATATTTTAACTGAAATTTGTTGCTTGGGAATTTTTTTTCTATAAGGATGACCTTGTTTCAACATGCCAACAGGTCATTCCCTTTCTGCTTAGTTTGAGGGAATCCAGTTTTGAGGAATTAGGCTCCACATTTAGTTATGGCCTATAAATGGTTCAGATATTAGAAAGATAGATGCTTTTTTGTCAGAACTGATTCAAGCTTCCTTGGATTACCCAATATGTGTATCTTCCCTTAATTACTAAAAGGATTCAATTCATTAAGACCTATTGAGTAAAAATCTAAGAAATCAGCATTGAGAATTGCTTCCATCTAAACTTGGATTGAATACAAGATAATCATAAAAGAATTAAAATTGAGGTTTGAGAAAGATTGTCAAAGATCATGTGGCCAACTTTAACTCAGGGAAGATAGGAAATGAAAGAAAAAGAAAAAAGAAAGAAAAAGAAAGAAAGAAAGAAAGAAAGAAAGCAGATGAAAAATAGATTTCATAGTAATAGATGTAAATGTACATTCTTGCAATCACACACATAATTATTTTTGTACATATATTTTTAAATTTATAAACTTTGCTAAAAACTTATTCAATCAGAGAATAACTCTTGCATCTGTGTCACATTTTACACTGAGAAGGGCTTCTTGGGGCTGGAGAGATGGTTCTTCAGGCAGCAGTGCTTGTTGTATAATCAGGAGCACCAGAGTTTGGATCCTAGAACCCAAGTACAAGCTATACATTCTGTGCTCACCTATAACCCCATTTCTAAAAGGGGTGGAGGTAGGAGGATTTCTGGGACTTGCTAGCTTCCAACTTATCTTAAAAACCCTGAGCCCCAGGTTCAGGGAGAGGCCAAGTTTAGAAGGAACATGTGGAAAATGACAGCGGTCTATCTCTCTTATACATGCCCAAATAAATAATAAATAAATAAATAAATAAATAAATAAATAAATAAAAGTTTACAGCGCCTGTGACCAAGTACAGAGACAAGGTGAAGCATGCAGGTGTTGGGTAACATGGGTCTGTGCCCCTAGGGGTTAAATAACTGTTAGCAGTGACTGGCTATGTGACATAACTTCTGTATGTCACGCTTTCCTCATGATTGAGATTGTGCCTGCTTGTAGGCTTGTTGTAAGGACCACATGAAAACAGCTGAGTAGAAGGATGCATCCAGCATCAAGAAGACACTTCAAATCCGTGGCTTTAACCATTCTTTCAAGGCTATGTCGTGTCACCAGGCAGGGCACTATCCTCTATAGTGAACTAGTTTTATAATTTAAACTCTGTGACCTCTGAATCATATTAAGCTAATATATATAAAACTTTTCTCTGAAAACAAATATAGAGGTAGAGGAAATTTGATTCTTTTTTCCTAGAATTCATTAATCATTGATCAGAAAAAAAGATGGTCCAAACATAGGGATCAACTAGTTAAATTTTAATAAACCAAAGTGGTACTAGACAATGCAAGACCAATATAGGTCACTAAATCATGATTGCCCTTTCTTTTTTTTTTTCCACAGAGATTATCTTATTTAATCACTATAATTGTGATCTAGAACTTCACATTGTGGTGAAAAGCAATTTTTTTCTAAATTTCTAATAACACATCTCGGATTCTATGCAAGCTAGTAAACATGCAAGAAGTTAAGTGATCCAATTCTAAAGTGATGAAATATTTTTTAACTTCTTAAATTTATCAACTTAGTGCAAACTATGTGCATTGCTATATCTAATAAAATTTCATAAAGTTAAGAACTTAAAACCCATCAAATGGCTACATGATTGCAGCCTGAAATTCAAGTCAATATTTTACACTCTTAGGTGCAAAAAAGATACACGAGTGTGGCATGCTTTGCCTGTGCACAGCTGGCTCCAACATTGTCCCTAATCAAATGTGTACCTTCTTGCAAGATATCAATCTACTGTCCTCACTGAGTCTGTGAGAGGGAGACTTCATTTAGAAGGACTTGCACCTCAGTTAGGTAACACCATCTTCTCTTTTCTATAAAGCCCATCAGAAGGTACTTAATTACAATAGATCATTTGCAAGAAAACTTTCTGTAGTTGGAACAAAGTCCATTTCTCATGAACAAAATATACCAGTAATAACCCCTCTTAAAATAATGTGGAAATAATCAAATTCTTATTTACACAAATTGCATAAAACATTCTGTAGTTTATAATCTGGTAAACACAACTTGCTTTATGAGTCAAATGATGAACTTGACATGTCCCCAGTTGAGTGCTGGTTAGAACCCTCTAAGTGTAAGCATTATTTCTAGTCTACCAACACACATAATGAAAGATGAGGTGGTTAAAGTATACAACTAGTAAGGCAAAGAGATGAGATTCAAATCCAGGCAGATACACTCTAGAACTCTTAAATCTACTGATGCACATGTTCACCGGGGCTTCATGCTCTTTCAAATCAATGTTTCAATCATCTTTCTCATTCAAATAAAAAAGTACTTAGAGATTGAGAGTATAGCCTGGTGACAGAGTTTCTGCCTAGCACGAGAAAGGCCCTGGGTTCAGTGCTCAGTACCAAAAATAATAATCAGGATGATAGGCAATAAGTAATTGCTAGTACAAAAAGAAATCTTTGAAAATAATAAATCATTGTGCATTTTCATTATGTAGCCCTATTTGGATAGAAATTTGCAAGTGTTCAAAATTGTAAAGATATAAAGTATTCAAAGAAAATGAAACCTTTCTCCCAACCTTGTTCATCATTGCCCACTCCTTACTTTCCACATCAAGAACAGTGACAAACACCAATGTCTACTCTTAAGACTATTTAATGTCTTTTTTGAGGCAGGGTCTCCCTGTACCCCCAGGTGGCCTGGGCCTTGTTATGTGACCAGGCTGGACCTGATCTCACAGAGATTGGACTGTCTGTGCCTCCAGAGTGCTGGGATTAAAACATGTGCCACCGTGCCCACCTACTTTCTACACATTCTAGCATGTATTTTAAAAAATCAAAAATGTTGAAGTGCTTTTCCCTTTCACTTAGCTACATATATTAAAATTTATTCCATGTCAGTAAATGAGGTGACTCTTTCTTTGAAAAAGGTTTCTTCACAGTCTATCAGATAGATATTCAGTCACTCATTTAATAATCACTCTTGCCAAAGTCACTTATTTGTGCAATTTGGAAGCTCTGAGAAGCATTGTAAGTAGAAAGATGGACTTCCAGCCCATGTCAACTGAAGTCATTGAATAGCTGTTGAGTGTTAAATATTGCTCTGCTAAGTGCTATAGCCATAAAAATAAATCTCCACTGACCAGGTTGATATGGCATGGATGTGTATAATGGAATGTAGTTAGAAATTCTACAAAAGAGGTAGATCTGTTTCCTGGGCTTTGGGGTAGTGCTGTGTTAGAGGGAGTGGGAATAAGGAAAAGGGACTTTTCAGTTATGTGGGACTTTTGAAAGCCAGAAATTCTGGCCTCTGGAGGCAAACCAGGCAGAGGGAACTACATGGAGTAAAAGAAAAACACAATTAGAAATAGCACTACGTGGTCATGGTGCACAGACAGGGGTGCTGTGTGATGCATTTTGGTTAGACAAGAAATGCCAGCAACACAGAAAAAGCAGCAAGTCTCAGAATGTGCATCTGTGCTATTTCCATTCACTATGCTGGGAAAAGGCAGCTGCTGAAGGTGTTTAACCCTGCAACTGTCAGAATCAGAGCTCTATTTCAGGGAGATTGACAAATGGCTTGCAGCAGGAAGTGATGACATGGAGGGAGATCAGTTAAGTAAGAGGAATGACCACATCTATGATTTGATGAGTTCACTTTGTTAAAATGATTACTGACCTGTTACAGAGAATAAACATCTGTCATTGTTCTTAAGTCAAAATGTAGATATGCCTTTGTAAATACTTAGAGTCAAATACGAAAGTACTAACATTTCTTTCAAATTAGATGATTTTTTCCCTCGTGGTAATTTGCAGAAAGCTTGGTGAGAATGAGGAGGCAAAAGCAAGGACATCAGTCACAGTGAGGCAGCACACCTGTCAGTTACAGATGGGAGGTGCCTTTTCCCAGCAAAGATAATGAACCTTCACTAGTTGCCTGTCGTCTCACCCCTCTCCTTCAGAGGGCTTCTGCTCAGCTATGTGGGAGGTGGATTTCCCAGGGTCCAGGGTTTCCTGCCAGGTACCTGGATAGGGCTTTGGGACAAGCAAGTGGACTCCTCCCACTGTGGCAGAGAGGAGCCATGCCGGGCTCTCTTCCAGTCCAGAGACAAGCTGATTCCAAAGCTCGCTGAGCATTGCCCAAGAAAAAGGGTCAACACAGCCGGGAATCCATTTCCAGCATGATTTACTCTTGGGAATACTGAAGTGGGCCATGGGGCGTGGGGGAGTCACCTCCTGTCATAACCACAAGTTAAAAATAACAGCATCATGTCCCTGGGCTAAGAGAGGTCTTTTAGAAACTCAGGTAGTGGCCGCAGGCTCCATCCCAGGACCGTCTGAGTTTGTCCTGGGGAGGTCAGAGCTCGGTGTTTGCTCTCCTGGCCCCGTGCGGGAAGCAGTTGCATCACAGAGCCTCCCTCCTCGGAGCAGCGGCCAATGCTTCGCTAGCCTTTGCAGATGTTTCTGATACTGGGGAGACAGGTTGGGCTGGGCCCAAAAGGAGGAGCTTATGCCTGTGTGCAAAATCTGGGAAGCTGACTGAGCACAGGTGGGAGCCAGAGTGAGCAAAAAGAGACCAAGTTTCTGGTAAGGAAACCCCGTGACCACCACCAGCCACTCTTAGTCCCACCCAGGCAAGGGACACACATAAAGGATCAAGCAGCGCCCAAGAGGTCACAGGATTGACTGTACAGGGCTCGCAGCACCGGGCACCCAGACATCATGAGTTGGTCCTTGAAACCCCAGAGTTTCTTTCTCTGCTTCTCGCTTTCATTGCTCTGTCCAACAGGCCTGGCAGTAAGTGTGCTTTGGGAACCATATTGTTTAAAATGAAAAATGAGAAACCATAGAGCCCATTAATGAACTTTCTGTGTTTTTCTCCATCAGCTTGTTGCTACCAAGGACAACTGCTGCATCCTAGATGAAAGATTTGTAAGTAGTTTCTATGCTCTGCACTTTCTTTGAACTGGAGGTGGGAGTGGAAAAACAGAGCAATTCTTTCACAAATGTCATTTGATGCTTGGAACTTTGGGGAAACAGTTTTACTCAGTTTACTGATAGGTCTTAAGTGTTGATTTTTTTTTCCCAAAATGCTAGTTACCTCGTTTATTTGCAGGGTAGTTACTGTCCAACCACCTGCGGTATTGCAGACTTCCTGTCCACCTACCAAACCGAAGTGGACAAGGACCTCCAGACTCTGGAAGACATTTTACATAGAGCCGAAAACAGAACCACGGAAGCTAAAGAACTGATCAAAGCAATCCAGATCCACTACAACCCGGATGCACCCCCGAAGCCAAGTGAGATACTGAGCGCTGTTGCCTGTGAAAGCCAACTGGGGCGTTCTTCTTTTGCTTTTAGTTGTGCTGTTTGCTTAAGTGATTTTGTTTCTGATCGTATATTACAGATGTGATAGACGGTGCCACCCAGAAGTCCAAAAAGATGGTAGAAGAAATTCTGAAATATGAAGCGATGATATTAACACATGAGTCAAGTATTCGGTAAGTGTTTGGGTTTTAATTCATTCTCCAAGGCAGATTTGGATTTGGATTGTATTTAATATTCCATATTTCACTGGAATTAATCTTGGAATGTATTTTTCATTTTTGATATCAAATTAACATTAACCCAGTAGAGGTAGGAGATTTTAGTGCAGAATGATTTGTACTGGGATATATGTAATCTCATTGGAGGAAGGTTATTCTAGATGTCTTTAAATGCCATTCTGGCTGTATCTACCTAAATGTTCCCATCCCCTTAGAGTAAAAAAATCAAATACATTGTAATTTGGGTGCTGAAAATAAAATTTTCTATAAATGTGTCAGCAAATCTGTGTGAAGAAATGAGAAGGGTATTGTAGTAACTCACATTGAAGTGGGAGCAGAAAAAAAATATGTCTTAGCATGCTAAATTTAGGGACCATCCCGAGGCTCCTTGACTGCAAGATGACGACTTACAATTGCACATTCTCCTCCTGTCCTCTATACTCCCAGCATACTATAAACTGTACTCCAGCATGCTACAGACTGTATCCCAGTGTATTACAGATTGTACCCCAGTATATTACAGACTATAGTCCATCTTACCACAGACTCTACCCCATCTTACTACAGACAGTACCCCATCTTACCACAGACTGTACCTCATCTTACTACAGACTCTACCCCATCAGCGTGTGAAATCTCAGGTGCAGTTTTAATTTCTTTTCATTGTTTAAATTGATCTCGCAGCCTCTTGGGAAACCGAGATGAAGTGGCCTAGGAGCTGTTTCTCCCTTTCTGGGATGAAGTCTGTGGCTATTGTTAAGATTATGTTTAGCATTATAGTTTCCATTATTTTTGCCCATCCTTAAAGTAGAAGGAGATTATTGTGAGAAATTTCTAAGACAGAAGAAAGTGGTCGAGTCTAATCATTTCTCTCTCTTTTCTTTAAAAAAAGACATAATGGTTTGTGCATTGTGTATAGTTATCTATCATTTCTGAATAGTTATAAGCAACCCTAGAGAAATGACCATGGCAGAGTTTATACTTTCCCCAAGCTTTCCCCTAAAGTTGTATAACAAGAAACACTAAGAAGGAAAAGACTACTGCTTTATCCACAGTAATGCCCCAGGTACCTTCCTCATAGAACAGGTGAAAACTCCTGAACAGCACATGTGAATGCCTGCCTCCAATTTCCCTTAGACAGGCCCACCACTCACATAGGTAATTACCTGATGCTCCTCATGTAGAAGGTAAAAGTCAGAGGGCCATTTGCAGTCCCCTTTGTTTATTGACAGGGACTTTGTTATTTGTGTTCAAAGTTGAGACTGTCTTCCCCATTCTAGGTATAAAAGCCACAACTATATTCCTGTTGAAACTGATTTGGTTTTTGCCCCCAAAGATTATCATTTTAAAACACTTAAATTTAGTAATATAATTTTACAACTTTCCAAGAAGGAAGTAATTTATCATAAAGGAATTCTTGAGAAAATAAAGTAGCATTTCTGAGAAAAAATACAAAATTATGTTTCTGAAAGGCATTCTTATCTCCTGTTTGTTTTTTGTTTTCTGTTTAGATATTTACAGGAAATATATAATTCAAATAATCAGAAGATCACAAACCTGAAACAGAAGGTAGGCCAACTTGAAGCGCAGTGCCAGGAGCCTTGCAAGGACACAGTGCAAATCCGCGACACAACTGGGAAAGGTGTGTGATCTACGCAATGAAGGCGGGTGTACGTCTTGCAATGCATAGATAGCAGGAGCTTGGAAAGCATCTAGCCCTTAAATCTGAGGATTCCAACAGCCTGGAGTTTTCTTGATTCGCAAACAATAATCTAAAAGAAATGATGAGAAGTATTCGAGGCTTGCCTCATCTTGCCTGGGTTTCAAACACAGAAGTAATTCTCTTTACTTTTCTTCTTCAGATTGTCAAGACATTGCCAATAAGGGTGCCAAAGAAAGTGGACTTTACTTTATTCGGCCTTTAAAATCTCAGCAGCAGTTCTTAGTGTACTGTGAAATTGATGGATCTGGAAACGGTTGGACTGTGTTACAGAGGGTAATTTCTTCTGACTCTATGTATTTGATAAATGGCCTACATTATACTTCCCTAAGCATCTGTGATTCTTAAGCACTCAGCCCTTGCCACACCCTTGCGAGGTAAAGACTGCTCTTAACTTGCAAAAGTGGAAACTGGGGCACGAGATCACACAGCTGTATAACTAAATTAACAGGCAGGATTTGAACCCCGGTGGTCTGGTTTTGCTGTGCTTTGACACAATCCCATGCTGTCTATGGTCTTGCACAACTTATGGTCACATATGCCAAGTTCTTTAGCAACAAGCATACAAGAGGCTCTTTCCTCAGGTAGATCAAGGCTGTCCATTACAAGACAAAGCCTCTCAGAGGATACAATTGGCAGCTCTAGAGCAAAGTCCTTTTTGGCCTCTGGTACCTACTGCAAATCTGCTTTTTATCTCGTTTACTTCATTCCAGTGTTACAAACTTCTGCAGGGGCTCTCAGAGAGTCACAAACCTGAGTTCTGAAGTTCTCCATGGTCTTTTTAAAAACCGACCATAAAAGCAAAATACCTATCATTAATTTAGAATTTAGAATTTAGCATGTACTAGGCACTCTCAAATAGATATAGATATTCTAATGTAATTCTCGCAGCATCATCCTTCCTGTTTGGTAGATATTGAAAAGGAGTGGCTTGCCCTAGGCCACTTAGCTGGCAGTTGACAGACTCAGACCTCCGTATTTTGAATATTGTTAGCATTCTCCTTATATGCATGTGATAATCGATTCTCTCCTCTTGTTCACACACTTGTGTGTATAATTAGAGACTTGATGGCAGTGTGGATTTCAAGAGAAACTGGATTCAGTATAAAGAAGGGTTTGGGCACCTGTCTCCTACTGGCACCACAGAGTTTTGGCTGGGAAATGAGAAGATTCACTTGATAAGCATGCAGTCCACAATCCCATATGCACTGAGAGTGCAGCTCAAAGACTGGAACGGCAGAACCAGGTATGGTGCAGGAGGGACTTTAACTTTTTGTTGTGGAGATCAGCTAAATGTGCCCTTTCCAACTGTCAGTGGACCAATGGCAAAACCAACCAGACAAGTGCAAGTGCCATATCCAGGCACTTCCCAGGAGTTCATTTGATTCTTGGGCAGCCCAAAGGCTGGGTCTCCAGGATGAATCTGCATGCTCTGGCACAATTTACTTACTTTACATTCAGAGTCATAGCGTCTGAGCTTTAAATACGTATCAGCAATTGAGCAGGAAATTAAATTAAATCAAATCCAAATAGCCAATGTCAAGAGACAGGTGCTTATTTTCCAAACTAACTTGCTCAGCATCATATTGTTGGCAAATGTCAGAGGCCTGGCTTGAATTGAGGTAGTTTGACTCTGGAACCATCCTTCTTCATGACTCCAGATTTCCCCTTCATTTAATTACCATTCATTCTATTAAACCATGAGCTACCCTAAAATTAACTACTTCTTTTAGCAATCTCTAGCCCCTGCTAGGCCCAGAAGTTGGGATTTAGAGGAGTAAATCCCTAATATAAGTGAAGAAGAATATCTAACTCTCTTGTTACATTTATGGAATAATGAAATACACTCCATTTTCAAACAGATTTTTTTAACGCCTCAAAATGTATCATAATCACCAGACGTTTTTCTATGAGCACATCCTTCATTTCTCAAGAATGAGATTAGGGAAGATCAAATATCTTCTGGACGTTTCTGTTCATTTACAAAGGCCCATTATGCATGCCCTCTACTCTACAGAAATATGGTTTCCTTCACAATTCTCCCCAGAGGAGCAAGTCTCTCTGACTCTGTGGCTCAGGTTTCATGGGCCACATAGGAATTACAACTTCTTTGATGTCTTTGAAAGCCTTTTCTACCCAGTATACCATTGCTTTGGAGAAGAAAACTCCTTTATGCCATCACACTTCAAGAGGTGTGAGTGACAGAGGCTGTTTCGCCTTCAAATTTCATGAATCAGTTATTGGTTACTCATTGCAGATAATTACTGTGATCTATGATCATGTATGTGCAATGCTAAACAATTTAAATGAAAGTAGAAAAATAAGAATTGAATTTATTCTTGTATTTCCATTTGATGTGAAAATCCTACAAGTGGCTTTTAGTTTTCAGTGGGATTCTTTGAAAGGCTTCTAGAACCATCCTGGGTGGTGGAGATGAGCTCTGGATTGGTTCATACATCCATTGCTTGGTACCAAACTTACAGGAAACTTTGCTCCATGGGTTTGTTTCAGCCTTGTGGCTCAAGATGTGCCATCTCTGTTCACAGCACTGCAGACTATGCCATGTTCAAGGTGGGACCTGAGGCCGACAAATATCGCCTGACCTATGCTTACTTCATTGGTGGAGATGCTGGTGATGCCTTTGACGGCTTTGATTTTGGTGATGATTCTAGTGACAAGTTTTTCACATCCCACAATGGCATGCAGTTCAGCACTTGGGACAATGACAATGACAAGTTTGAAGGCAACTGTGCAGAACAGGATGGGTCTGGCTGGTGGATGAACAAATGTCATGCTGGCCATCTCAATGGGATTTATTACCAAGGTATGGCTGCTTTGTTAGGTAATGAATTAGTGTATAGTATATGTTTTATATAAGGTTTTATATAAGCAGATACAGAGAGATGAGGAATTATAGTGGATATAGTAAGCCTTTTATCATATAGATGATTATTTGAATCTGGAATTGGATAATGCCAATTATCCAACTAGTATTATTATGAATATTATCAAGCTTTCACTTAGAATGGGCTCTTCTACAACAAATCTACTTTCTGAGTAATATCTGGTGTTTGATTATTGTGCCGAATTATTACTCCCAGAGTTAGAATTTGGGATTATGAGCTTAAGGAGAGAGACAGTGTTCCAGCCCTGCTAATAATGAATAAAATTAAAGAATGCGTGTGATCACGAAGCACAACATATTTGTAAGGGTTTGTTCAACTATAATTTATTTTCATTATACACAGAGATTTTAGAATCACTAGAGGAATTTTCAGTTAGTAGGAAATTCTGTGACCTTGATGTAACTGACCACATACTCCAGACTAGATGGTTCTTATCTAAATGTGAGACTAATGACAGGCATATCTACCACTTATTGCAGGTGGCACTTACTCAAAAGCATCTACTCCTAATGGTTATGACAATGGCATTATCTGGGCCACTTGGAAATCCCGCTGGTATTCCATGAAGGAGACCACCATGAAAATCATCCCGTTCAACAGACTCTCCATTGAAGATGGACAACAGCATCACATGGGGGGAGCCAAACAGGTCAGGGTAGAACATGAAGCAGAAATCGAATATTAATAAATCAATTTGCCTGAAAGTTTTATAGTATAAAGAATTAACTATTAACTTTTATTAACTTGTCCAAAGTTCCAAAAATTTTCTTTCTACCTCCCCTAACTATATTTATTAATTTTAGTTTTCCTTAAAATGATATTTAGCCTTAAATGGAATTAAAATTTATTTTAAACTATATTTCCAAATTACTGAACTCAAAGTTATTAAAAATTGTTTATTTTGGGAGACAAAATTTCCACTTCTCCCCTACATATATAAAAAAATAAAACTACTATATTTTGGAGTTTTTTGTGATCAGTAGTCATTTTGCCATGGTTATTTTTGTTGTTGTTTTAATTATTTCTTAAGCATATTAATATATACTAATAAAATAGAAAAAATTTAGAGATTCAGTTGTATAAATGCTTTCCATGTGTCTTACCTCTAAATCATTCAGAATTAATTCTTCTTTTTAAACAGGGTTATATTTTTAATATATCTTTTGTTTTGTTATATATTCATAGGCTGGAGACGTTTAAAAGGCCATTTCAAAGGTGATTTGCTTTTTTAAAGAACTCTATCTGAACAGAGAAATATATTTTTCCTATGGGACAATGGACTTTAAAAGCCTCACTTCATTTTATGAGTAAAAGGAACCTATGTTGAAAACTCCATTTGCAGTTTTATGCTGGCGATAATTTATCTACATGCATTTCAATAAACATTTTGTTTCCTAAGATGAGATACACAGTACCTTTTATTGACCTTGGAAATCACTGGTAGTTGCTGAGTCTTCATGTTGTGCTAGACATAATACCTGAGCAAAGGGAATCACAGAGAAACATAAGTCATGGCTCTTGCCCTCCAGCATACAGAAAACTCCCAGAGTGCAGAAGCCCAGTGTGACAGATGTAGCAACCCAAAATGACAACATTTGATAAGAACATAAGCACAAGTCAGAGTCACAAGCATATAATCAAGGTACATGATAGGCAATGCACAGCCAGCTGGAGAAAGCTACTGGGGGATTTTTCTAGAAGCTTTTAGCTTCAAACATCTGTGGGCACACATGATCTCTTTTATAGGGCCAGTATTCAGAGCCAAAAGCTTAGGGGACAAACTGCTCAGCTCTTCACAGATCAGACAGGAGGTGAGCAGAAGGCAGGCATTTCCTCATTCTGAATGAGAGATACTGAAAGTTTAGGAACTTGACTTAAGCAAGGACGGGTTTCTTAGGGATCAGCTAAGTTGGCTTAACTTGTAATCCGGTTACTATGCAGAGTTCTTGACATTTTCTGAATGCAGGATCTACTTGTGCGGAAGTCCACAGCTTTGGCCCTGATCGTCCTTCTTTCCACAAGTTCTTTCCAAAATCTCCCATTTCCTGTTTCTCAGGACTCCTCATTTTAAAATATTCTGTAGTAGAAGTTATAAAAAACAAAAGAGAAAGAGCCAAAACCATACATCAATTTCTAGTATACAAACAAATGCTGGCCAGCCTTTTGGAAATAGGAACCTTGACTCACTGCCTGAAGTATGCATTTGATCAAGGGCACAAGGAGCCTTTTTTCTACTTCACATAATGAAGCTACCGAGTGCCCTTACTGTTGCTACTGGGCTGGATACTGAGGACACAGTGCATGATGCCCTCAGCATCCTCCTCTCTCCCAAGTCCACCATTCCTTCTTCCTGTCAAGTCCACCTCCTCAGTATTCCTTATATTCACTTCCTTCTCTGTACTCCATCTCTCTTCTCCAGAGATACATCTCCTGCTAGGATAATGGCAGTAGCTCCCTCCCCACTTTCTTGGAATCATCCTTGTTCTTACCTGGTCAGGCTGCAAATTACTTCTAAAATCAGTATGTAAACTGTCTGCCTTTTGCTTATATGAAATATTTTAACACAGAAATTTAGTCATAAATTGCAAGAGTTATGTAAGTCTTTGTAAGTTTTGATACAATAGTTCTCCCGTGATTTATACCCAAAATACAATTGTTTTTTGGTCTTTTTTGAGACAGGGTCTCCCTGTAGCCCCAGCTATCCTGTAACTATGTAGACCAGGCTGTCCTGGAACTCACTATGTAGACCAGGCTGGCCTCAAACTCACATTTTTAAGAAAGAAAGACCAAGGCATAACTCAGTGGTAGAGCATGTGCTTAGCATGAGTAAAAATCTGGGCTCAGCATTCACCACCATAAAAGAAAACAGAAGACAGAAAACAGCTATGCAGCTATGTATAGATATATAAGTATAGGCATGAATTTAATGATGGTGAGATATTTAGTCAATATTTGACAGTGGGAGGACAGTTAAGCAAGGCAGTTATTAGTTCATTGGAACAGAATACAATGATTGCAAAATAAGCATAATTTCTCAGTATAAACACGGAAACATTTATTTTAAAAATTAAGTGTATGTCATAGTTAGGCTTAGTTGTCAACTTCACACACCTGGGAAGAAGGCACCTCAGGCAAGGGACTTCCTCTGTCAGAGTGATCTGTGGACATGTCTGCGGGGAAATTTCTTGACTGTTAATTGCTGTAGGCTGGCCTAGCTCATTGTGAGCACTGCCATCACTGAGCAGGTCGGCCTGGGCTGTAGAAGAAAAGTAGCTGAGCAAGTCAGGGGAAGAAAGCCAGTAAGCAACACTCCCCCATAATCTCTGCTTTAGTTCCTGCCTCCAGGCTCCTGCCTTGAGTTCCTGCCTTGGCTTCCTTTGACGGTGGGCAGCAACTTATTAATTAAATAAACTCTTTCCTCCCCAAGTTACTCCTGGTCAGTGTTTTATCACAAGAATAGAAAGCAAACTAGGACAGGATACTTTAAAAATTAAAAATCATTCTACAGTGGTAATTATATGAGACATATACATGCTTATATATGTTGAATAAAAAGCAATACTGACATATATATGTGTGTGTGTATAAAACTTGTACATATCAACCAATCTATTACAAAAATGTAATGAAAATATGAAAACATCCCACCCAGCGAGATGACTCAGCAGATAAAGGCACCTGCAGCAAAGTCTAATGACCTGGACTTGATTGCCAAGGCCCACATGGTAGAAGGAGAGAACTGGCTCTTGTTAGTTGTCTTCCGACTTCCACACATTCGCCATGGTACACACGTGCCTCCCCCGCAACACACACATACACAAACTAAATAAATGGAAATGTAACACTAAAACATCAAATAAATAAAAAGTCCAAACATTTCTGATTTTCCCCATGTTCGCCTGTTTGGTGCTTCTCCTGAAATATTAGAGCATGAGCATTCTTTCAAAAACGTTAAAAGCTTCCTGTATTTGTGGGTATCATGAGTAGATATTTTGTCTGTATATTGGGTAATCCAGTATCAAGTGGGAAGAAGGAGCTATTAACTTTTTGTTAGATATCTTTGTACTGTTTAACTTATTGGAATGAGTACATATTAATTTTGTGGTTTAATTTTGAAACAAAATGAGTTATAGAAAAATAATTTAACTTCAAATATACACTTGTTTGCTTATTAATATCTACTGGAGATTCTTGAAGCCTATAATTTCAGAAATAAAATAGGAAAATATTTCTGGACACAATTAGGTCATGTCTCCTTAAGCAGACGCTTAAAGAATTAACTTGATAAATCAACAACAAAACTGGAAAAGAAGAGTTTGGGGCCTTATACAAACAGGCCACTTTTCTGTATAGCTCAGAACCACAGATAACTAGTGCTGATCTCTCCCCCTTACTTTCCTGAGCACAGGAAAGCTTCAAAATAGGGAGGCTCAGTACAAAGTGGGTGGACAGGGCCTTGCCTCTGATCTCCAGAGGGTAGCTTCTAGAAAGGAAAAGACCAGTGATCCAGCTCAGCTGATGAACACTTGCTAGCTTTTATGTCCAGGCATCAATCCCTAGCATCACAAAAAACAAAAAGAGAAGCCTGCTTCAAAGAAGATGTCTTGTATTAACAGTAGGAATGATCACTTATTGGTTAAATATTGAAGATTTTAAACATATTTTTGAGATATTCACCTTCCCCTAGTTCTTCTCTTGTAGCTATACTTCAGGATAAGGTTTCAGAAGTGTGGGTAAGTTGAAAGTGGGAATTGAAAAGATGTGTGTGTGTGTGTGCGTGTGTGTATGTATATATTTCTACAAATAGCCAAATGTGATGGCCAAAATCTACAATTTTAGCACTTGGGAGGCTAAGACAGGAGGATGGAGAGCTCAAGACCAGCCTGGGCTACATAGCAAGGCACAGTCACACACACAAAAAAAGTAGAAAGAGCAAGGGGCAAAAGGGATGGGGGAGAAGAAGTAGGAGGAAGAGGAGGAAAAAGAAAAGGAAAGAGATGTCAAAGTATAGATAGCATATCTGAGATCTTTCACAAGGCCTTAAATTCTTTCACGCCGACTCAAATCAGTATAAACTAGCCCAGGTATTTTTGTAGTAGATACTTTGGTTTATTCAGATGATAAAAATGGGAAACTTAAGTACATATTTAACTCTAGGGAAAATGTCTACTTGATGATTTCTTACTAGTTTGATGTAACTGAAAATGAATAATGTGGTGGGGTTCTCTCTGGGTCTCCTGCGCAATCAGACAAACCATATACTATATTTTAAGTGTATTTAATAACTTACAAATGAATGAGTACCCAGTACCTAACCCAGCGCCGTGCCTCAGAGCCCACCTTATCAGACTGTGCCACGCCCATAATTCTCTCATGCCTCTGGGGCCAGTGATCGCCTCAGGTTCATTAAAAGTCAGTCCATTCTGTCTTTCAGCTGTCGTGCACACAGCTCTCACGCTTCCCCAGGGCTAGCGGATTCTCTGACTCCGCTCGGGGCTTCTTTTCCAAGGTGGCTCCCAGCCACACCCCCATAGTCCACACTCTGCAGCAGGCCCCGCCCATTGGAGGAACTAACCAATCAAGAGACAGGGGTCAAAGCAGGAATATTAATATATCTCTCAACTATCATCAGCAAAGCTTCCTCATGCAACAGATGGTGATTAACACAGCCACAACTGACCAAAGTGGAGAGACTAGAAGACTGCAAAGTGCTTGTCCCTGGGCAGGTCACCCATATCAAACCTTTGCCACCCAGAGCCAAGGGACCATTGTGGAAGAGGGAGTAGAAAGACTGTAGGGCAGGGGTGGTGGTGACACAAGGAAATAGTTTTCCAGACAGCTGGGAAGTTGCTCATATAAATAACAACATGCACAAGACCCATACAAGTTCAGCCCAGACAAAAACCCAGAATAGCAGGCAGGAAATGGGTAAGAAGCCCCAACATTAGCTGAGGAACTACTGGCAACTGATGACTACTGGGAGAGGAAGAGTTGGTTTTCTTTAAGGGAGTGATGCTAGATAGGTTGACCAGGCTCTGGTGGATGGACTCACACCTAGGGTTGTTTGGAGCTGGAAACTGGGCTTGATAGGCCTTAACATATTTGACAGATGTATGAAATCTGGTGGGGGGGGCTATGGAAGTTGCAGATAGGGGAGGGATCTAAATATGATCAAGATGCATGAAATTCACAAAAATTCAATTAAAAGGAATGAGGATTGGGGAGATGGTTCAGTGAGTAAGGTGTTTGCCATACAAACATGAGGACCTGAGTTTGCATCTTCAAAATCCTTGTGACATATGACTCAGTAATATATATCTGTAACCACAGTGCTCCTGTGGGAAGATGAAAGCCAGAGACAGGAGATGCTGGAAGCTCACAGGCCAGCTAGCCTGGAGTATTGGA